CACGGTTGGCAGTCGTTGACAGGGTATTGCAGACCGTTCTCAGCTCTTGCCTGCCTTGCGCTGGAGAACCTACGTTATTCATCCTCCCGGGACCTCCCCCCTAATTCCGAAGAGCGGGTTGCAAAATCAGTTACCCACCTCTGAGGGGTCTCTCAAGCTTGAAGCTTGATCTATGCTATCAAACTCTTCCGCTGTCATTGCTGGTTTTTACTGTCATTGCTGTTTTTTATCACGGACGGCGCTCAATGTACCTCGGAACGAGTCCCAGATTCCACCGCATTCCACAGCATTCTTTTATCTTCCACAGTAGCCATCCCACCACAGTGTGTTCTCTTCGATGACAGCCACCCTCACGTCGAGTATCAGGTTGGGTCCCTCCCTTTCCATTGCGGCCTCTTGTCCACCGCTTTCGCCACCTTCCGGTCCAATTAACCATTCTCTGATGAAGATCCTCTTCTTGAAGCCTGCCCCTATCGATCTACAATTTCCCGTGTTTCGGTCTTCTGCCACCTGTCTTCTGCTACCCTAAACTGATCTCTGCTCGCACCCTTTGAAATATGAGAGCAGGCCCAATTCTGCTCCTTGTCAATTTCGTCGCCATCTATTGTTTTGTAGAACACCTTCGCTTCCAGATAGTCTTGCCGGATATTGCGAAGGTGAAAATTCATTGACGCACAGTAATACTATTTCAAGTTTCAACCATTCATCCATTGTAAAGACCCAAATTGTTAAGACCGTCTCTTTTCGGACGGTTCATGCCTCCAATGGATAGGTATGTTGCTCAGTTGCAAGGGAATACTATTTCCAGTTTCAGCGATTCATCCATTGTAAAGACCAACATTGTGACGCTTGTCTCTTTTTGGATGGTTCGTGCGTCCAATAGATAGATAGGTATGTTGCTCGGTTGCAGGTATGGTGAGCGTAATTGGGTAACGAACCTAACGATCGTATGGTCAATGTATGCTCTCCATGTAGAGGTAGATCACATGAGTCCTCGACTGTCACGTTTCCGGTCCTGGAGAAGAAGAGAGAGTTACTCTCAGGTCCAGGAGAAAGGAAGAGCTTTGCTATCTTTTGAGATAAAAAGAGTATGGTCGATGTATAGGTTGCATGTGTAGGCAGATCACATAAGTCATTGACGATTACTTTTCAGGTTCAGGAGAAGAAGAGAGCGTTACCGACAATTAATTTTCAGGTCAGGTCCAGGAGAAGAAGAGAGNCACATAAGTCATTGACGATTACTTTTCAGGTTCAGGAGAAGAAGAGAGCGTTACCGACAATTAATTTTCAGGTCAGGTCCAGGAGAAGAAGAGAGCGTTATGATCTTCTGAGATAGAGAGATTCTTCTGACATGTCGGGTTCGAAGAAGAGAGCCGATTACGCGTGGAGGTTTCAGAGGAGAGATCCATTTTCGAAGTAAATAAGCGGAGAGAAAAAGTAAGAGAGAGTACGAGTCACTGAAGTTGTTTGTATCCCTCACCTTGCACCACCACATGCACAAAAGACGAAAAATATGGCGGTGTATCTTTCCATGTGCGAGCGGAAGATTCATGCTCATTTTGCACATTTGGTGAGTAGTGGAGCCAGACCCATAACTCCTGTTGGGAGTGGATATCCTTGCAGTCGGCAACACAGGCAGAAAGGCAAAGGAGGCACCAGTAAAGCGGAGAGCAGGTGTGGAGGCCGCTGGGAGGGAGGGCATGGAGGCTGACAACTTAGCAGCAAGCGAAGTAGCAGCCAAACACACAATCCAGCAAGCAGGCACCAAAGCAACCAAGCAAGAAAGTAGAGGGGCAGTTGGCGGGCAAAAAGGCAGGAACACAAGGAAAGCAGCCAAGTGCCACAGCAACACCGCACAGCTAGGCAGCGGGCAGCACGGAGAAGGAAGTCCAGACATACAGCATGGACCGAAGCACATCATCTGTCTGTAGTTTCATGCCACTATCAGGAGCCAGGAGCCAGAAGATGAATGCCTTTCACCCCACCTAATAGCGTAGCAGGCACTGACCATTTGGCACATCTTAAAGGTGTCGCATGTAGACATGTAGAAAAACATGGGAAAGAACAAGCAGAAAGTGGACGACATATGGAAAGCACTTGAAACTAGAGGAAAAAAATAAGTCTACAGTTTGTGTGTGTGTGTGTGTGTGTGTGTGTGTGTGTGTGTG